TCCTGTGGGCCTAAATTGGATTATGAATTAGTCATTAACTGATTTAAACCTAATCATAATTTATTCCCCATGGAACTGAGGATGGAGTCACTGTCACCCAAGCTACCTACCTACCATATGGCTTAAAATGGGGAAGGAAAAGTTTCGAAAGGAAAATCAGGGGGATGGGAAATGGATACTATAAATATTGATGTCCAGCACAGAAACAGTGCTAGGCCCTCCATCACGTAGCCCCAAAGAGCAATAGCTTTCTCCTCCCATTTATCCATTTTCCCTGTAGATAAGGCCCACAATAAGACAAGTAAGATAGTAAGGTATCCCTACTTACTAAGAGTGTACAAGGAGCATATGATAAGTCCCACAAAAGATATACGGAATTTAATAGGTATATAGAAGTTGAAGAAGGAAGCTTAGCTTATAGTGATAATAATAGAAGATGTAGTATTTTAGCTAGATTTCATTAGATGGGGAAAATTTTTTTGACACAGACTGTGTTTAGAAGTTGTGTTTAAACGATGACATTTTTGGCCAAGGGAATGACATGTGTAGATATCTGGAGAGGGAAAAAATACAAAGTATAAAATTGGTAAAGACATGAAATTCTAGAACTGAGCTGCCCAATATAGTAGCTGCTAGCTAAATACGGGTAACAAGCACTTTAAATGTGGCTAGTTCAAATTGAGGGTGAGGTATAAGGGTAAATACATACCAGGTCTTAAAAACTTAATAAAATGTAAACTATCTCAATTTTTAAAATTTATTATATGTTGAAACAATGTTTTGGATATATGGGGTTATATAATTGAGAAAGTTAAACTAGATTAATTTCACCTGTTTACTTTGTTAACGTGATTGTTAGAACATTTAAAATTATGTGGCTTGCATTATGTTTCTGTTGGCCGATGCTGCTCTAGAAAATCAAACAGTCATGAGTACTCCATCTATCTTATGAAAATTGACAATGATGGTGGTACAGCACCAAGTATTGATACCCCAGAAGATGTTAGGGATTACATTTTACAATGAAAAACATCAGAATGGTTTTATCTAATGGATGGATACTTTTCCTTATATGACACCTTGCCTTGAGAGTACTACATCTTACTGCCTTTTATTTAGTATGCTTATATTCTGGAAGCAAATATTTCTTAAAAAAAAGTTTTTTGATTTCAGAGAGAAGAAGGGAGAGAGAGAGACAGAGACATCAATGATGAGAGAGTCATTGATCAGCTGCCTCCTGCACGCCCCCTGCTGGGTATCGAGCCTGCAGCCCGGGCATGTGCCCTGACTGGGAATCGAACTGTAATCTCCTGGATCCTAGGCCGATGCTCAACAGCTGAACCACGCCGGCTGGGCTGGAAGCAAATATTTCTTAAAGGAACATTGATAATATGACTGCCTCTTGTTTCTTTTCTTGTTTTTTGTTTTTAATCTTTTAACATTAAACATCTATTAGCTGTGCTAATTGGATAAAATGGTAATTTTCTCATCTATAAAACGAGGATAATAGAGCCTAGTACACAGGTATATTGCATTCAGTGAGATAAGTGAATGTGTACTGTGAGTGCCATTTGGATAGAAACTGAGCAGGGCACTACAGTGTTGTTAGACATTGTAGGAGAGAGGAAGATGACCAGGTTCTCATGGCTCAGAGTGAGAGTGACAGATATGTGTTACAGCAACTGGACTTCAAGGCAAGGTGACTCAGACACTCCAATGAGGTACTCGATTTAAACGATGTGAAAAAAGTGGAAAGAATGATTGATGCCACCTGGGCAGTCACAGTCGAGCAGTGTCAGTAGACAAGGGCATAGGAGTGGAGTGGGCAGACAGGCAATTTAGATTTTGGATTGAAGGAAATGTATGAATGAAGGTAGGAAAGTTTACAGTATGTGTTTGAGTTTCCTTTGGCTTAAATATTCACGGATTAAAAAAATTTTTTTTTACAGAGGGAGGAGGGGAGAGAGAGAGAAAAACATCAATATGAGAGAGAGACATCCATCAGTTGCCTCCTGTACACCTCCTGACTGGGGATTGAACCCGAAACCCAGGTATGTGCCCTGACAGAGAATTGAACCCATGACCTTCTGGTGCACCAGGGGACACTTCAACCTACTGAGTCACACCGGGCAGTTCCTTGCATGTAGGGACTGGTCATCTTTATCTTTGTACCTCCTGAGTACAAAAGGTCAGGTTCAACAGGTAGTTGGTGCAACTTTGCAACATTGAGAAAGTGGTGGATCACTTTCTTATTTTTTAGTTCAAACACAGTACAGAAGATGTGTTTGAATTTCTAGACCTTTATCACATACTTACAGATATATTTGCTGAGAGTTGTGCATTGAGGTTGTGTGAGTGTGAAGTTCTTATTCTCCAGTGAAGAGCGGATCTGAAGCTGTGGAGCTTTATTTACCTGCTGCCGCAGAGGCCTGGCTCTTACTCCAACAGGGACCATTACATTCCTGCAGGTTTTCAACACAGCCTTCTGTGGAGCTCTGTTCTGTGAAGGATAGAACAGCTCCTTCTTCCAGAAAAAGACGATGCCTTGCCTGCCAACCTTTGGCTACCTGGAATGGGACATTATTTTGCAGGGTAGAGAGCACAGTGGAGAAGGGGTGTACCTGCAGGAAATCTAGTTGCTCTGCCGTGAAGCATGTGAAAAAGGGAAAGAGAGGAAGCGGCTTAATAACTGGGATCTCACTTTGCGTGGGATTCCCTTTTGGGGGGTTCCCCCCGCTCTGTTATATTATCAGTATGTTTGAATGTTTTATTTCCTGTCTACCTGGTAAATTGCTTTTATATTAGTAGTGTTTTGGATCCACCATGAAGATCATTAACAGATTCACTGGGAAAAGAACAAGGAGGAAACTATGTTTATTTCTTTATTCACATCTCATCATTTTGAGAAAGGAAATTAGGAAAGGCTTCCTATGCATGCTCCCTTCACCTTCTACCAATTATTAATGGTTTTTGGTAGTGGACTAATGCAACCATTGAGTTTACCATTAAAATAAGAAATAGGAGCTATTCTTGGCTTAAATGACTCTTTTTGTGTGTGAATAATACAATTTTTACAATAGGGAATATTTGCAAAAACTTACTAACTACAAAGTCACACGTCCTCCCTGAGAACACAGAAGGTTAAAGTCCCAGGCCAGGCGGTTAGCGCAGCTTACGGCCCAATGGAAGGGGACAGGGAGGGGCGGTAGTTCTCCTTACAGGCTTTCATTCTCCCACACCGGCAGGCCTCTTCCCTGCCCTCGCCAGCTTCTGTCGCACTCCTCTGGGCTTTGGTCGGAGCTATGCTGACCAGGCTGGACTTGTAATTGTACAGCAGGGAGAGCTGTTCTAATTCAGACCCACTTTGATGTGGCTTAGAAAAGCTATTTAATAGGTAGTAATTGTACCATTTCTGAGATTCATGAGGCTCCTGAGATTTGTGGATATGTTAAGGCTCAAGGTTCCAGCAGGAGTTAAGAACGTGTGAAACTTAGAAATGTGGGGAGAGGGCTGAAGCAAGGCTCAGGGGTGGAGGAAGGATTAACAGTATTTGTGGCAAATATCACTTAATGCAAAAGTTAAGAAATTTTCCATTTAGCCATTTTGGTATAAAGCAGTTCTGTTAAAACGTCCTTTGGTACATTGAAGGCGCTCAGTAAATGTCTGTTGAACCTTAGTTCCAAACCAAGGCCATGCTTTTAACCCTCTTTCCCCTCTTCCATCTTTTTGTATTTGGGCCCGCAAATACCAAAACTTGGGTTGATAAACTTAAGAGTAACACTGCAGCCCGGCCGGCATGGCTCAGCAGTTGAGCATTGACTTAGGATCCAGGAGATCTTGGTTCGATTCCCGCTCAGGGCACATGCCCGGGCTGCAGGCTCAGTCCTCAGTAGGGGGCGTGCAGGAGGCAGCCGATCAGTGACTCTCATCATTGATGTTTCTCTCTCTCTCTCCTTCTCCCTTCCTCTCTCTGAAATCAATAAAAAAGATTTAAAAAAAGAGTAACTGAAGATTAAGTAAAATGAATCATATTTTTAAAGGAAATGAGGTAAAATAAAGACTTGGTCAACGTAAGTCCCTTTAAAATCTCCACACAACTCTTCAGTGTTCCAGTTTTTTATTCTGTCTCTACCATCATGTGAATTTGGAAAGTTGCATTAAGTTCTCCAGACCTGTTTCCTCTTTTTTAAAATTAAGGAATGGATTAATCTTTAAGGTCCATTTTAGACATGCTATTGACATTTTCATTTTAGCACCTCATTCACTAATTGAATTACCTTTCTCAAGCACTGTAATATAAGATAAATAAAATTATCCTCATTAAAATTTTTCTTACCAGTTTTCAAAAATAGTCTTGCCTGTATTTGCATTGTGATATGTATTGCATGACCTTCGCCCTGGGAACACAACCTTTGATTTCAGCATTGTAAATGGAAGGTAACAGAAGTTTAAACCACTTTGAAGTTGATAAGAACCGAACTGAATCTTGATCGACAAGTACTGGCTTAGTGACCATAGGCAAATTATTACTTTCACTAAGACTTAACTTCCTCATCTGTAATATGAAAATGATAATGTATTTATGAAGTTTTTGTGAGGATTAAATCAGATAATGGATGTAAATTGCTTAGCACAAAGCCTGGCTTATGGGAAACAATACATATCACCTAATATTGTTGATGTAACCTTTTATTTAATTTTTTTTCCAATTACAGTTTACATTTAATGTTATTCTGTATTAGTTTCAGGTGTAGAGCATCATGCCTAGACAGTCACATGCCCTGCAAAGTGTTCCCCTGATATTTCCAGCACCCAACTGGCACCATCCATACATAGTCACCACAACACTATTGGCTATATTTCCTATGCTGTACTTTACTGATATAATCTCTTGTATCATAAATTAGGGACTATTTCACTCAAATATTTATTAAGTAAACTAATGACGAGAATGTTTTCCTGATGGAAACTGACCTAAAATATTTTTTTTCTCCTTGCAGATCTTATACTGCACTTTAAACACACCTAAAGTTGACATGGAAAAACTCTTAGGATCACAGATAGGTCTTGAAGATTTCATATTTGCCCACGTGAAAGGGATCAAAAAAGAAGTGAATGTGTATAAATCTGAGGATTCACTTGGTATCACCATTACAGATAATGGTACTGGCAGTGCTTTTATAAAGGTAAGTCTTAAAAAACTGTGTCACCTAACTGAGGGTAACATTTAAGAAAATCTACCATGTCAAAGAAACTTGGAAATTGTAATGTTTCATTTAAAAATGTTTTAAAGACACCATTTTTTGTTTACCCATTCCTTGAATTTCTTCTGTTCAGTTTAAAGTTCCTCTAGAATTTAGAACTTAATGAAAGCCTGGCCCTGGTGCCTGCTCATCCATATGAGCCCTTGCAGGTCTGTAGCTCATTAAATCTGATGATTTCCATGCTGATTTCCTGATTTAGTGTTATTTCCAAGTGCACATATTTTTGGCTATCTTATTTACTTCTTTAAAAATGCTCTTCAAACTTTTCTGAACTATGTAATTCCTTTATCCAAATACGAGGAGAGCACAATAGATCTGCAAAGGCAAGAGAAGAAAGTTTCAAATGGTATGAAAACACTATAAGAACTGAGGAGTGGTAAAAAAGAAAAGTAGATTCATCTCTTAAAAATAACAGTTCTATTATTGTAATAAGTAGTTGTAATAACACTGACTTATCATGTACTAGGCACTTTGCCTACATTTTCTCATTTAATCCTTACAACAGTTCTGTTTGGTTGGTACTATGCTTTTTATCTTATTTGCTTTTTTGTTGAGGTGTAACAAATTTTAATGTACAGCTTCATGAATATTGGTATACTTACACCTGTGTAACCACCACCCAAATCAAGGAAAATTTCATTTCTGCCACCCAGAAGGCTCCCTCGTGCCCCTTCCCAGTCAGTATTCTCCCCGCAAAGGTAGCCACTCTTCTGACCTCTGTCACCATAGTATTGCTTGCTCTTGAACTTCATATAGGTAGAATCATATATTTTGTACTCTGCTGTTTCTGGTGTTTTCTGTTCAACATCAATGTCTGAGATTCATCCATGGGCACAGTTATCAACTTCTATTTTACAGACATAGAAAACAGGATCAGGAGGTTTCAGTAGCTTGCTCCAAGTTTTACAGCTGGACAAATTCAGGATTTGACTCCAAGAGAGATCTGACTCCAGAGCTGGCAGTCCTACCGAGCTAATAATAAGTGATAAACTTCATGCAACAGAGCATGTTTTCATGCCTTTATTTTGTCCGAATCCTTGATTTGCTGATGCAGTGTCATCATTAAAAAAAAAACCGCCACAAACAGTCTTAGGGGAGTTATCTTCTTAACTGTAAATAGCACCTTCCTATTTGATAGAATGGCTATTTTTAGCTCTGCAGAAGATATGACTGTGCTGAAGGTTGAGTGGGTGACCAAATGGAAAATCCATGAGTTGGAAAGTCATGTGGGATTATCTGGGGGAAGCTCAGGACATGGGCCACAGGCAGCAATTCCTTCCTAATGCCAGCAGGGAAGGGCTTGGAAGTTTTACAAACATGCATGGATTTTTTAGATCTTAACCTCTGATGTTCAGGGCTTGTGTTTCTATTTTTTTTTATGCTTCGTCAGACACATGCCTGCCTCAGAGCTCCAGTCAGTAGCCCTGTGGGGACAGAGAACATGATGGAAGAGAAGTGGTGCATAAACCAAACTGCTGACACACAGTTCAACTTAGACGAGAAATGAATACTATACTGTGTACACGGTTGCTAGGATTTTTTAAAAATTGAGGGGGGATAATTTCAAATTTATTAAAAGAATAGAATAATAATATAAAAACCTCCCATAAAACCCTTTACTCAGATCTCCAGTTTCTACCATTTGCTACATTTGCTTTCTTCTCTCTCACACACATATTGTGTGTATGTACACACATAGACATATATGTAATTTTCCCTGAGTCGCCTGAAAAAGTGGATTGCATATATCATCTATTTATCCCTTAATATTTCAGATTGTAGTTATTTAGAACAAAGATATTCTCTTCTGTATAACTATAGTACAACTATGAAGTTCAGAACATCTATCAGTGATACGTTTTGAAACTAATCTAATGTGTCCATATTGCAATTTTATCAATTCTCCTATTAATTTCCTGTATAGCTTTTCCCCCTGGTGTAGGTCCAATATAGGATCATGGATTTCATTTAGTTGTCATGTCTTTTTAGTCTTCTTTATCCTAGAAAAGTTCCTCAGCCTTTCATAGAATATCCCTCAATTTGGGTTTTCCTGATTTTTCCTCATGTTGAAACACAGGTTATGCATTTTTGGCAGGAAAATTAGGTAAGTGACGTGTGTCCGTCTCTGTGCACTACATCAGAAGGTGTGTTATGTTGGTTTGTCTCATTTATCACGTGAATTTCTGTCACTTGTCTAAGGTAGTGTCTGCCAGTCTTATTCACTGCCAAGTTTTATTTTCCTTTGCAACAATTTGTGGGGAGATATTTTGAGATTATGACAATATCTCTTACTCATACCCCACAGACTTAGCATCTATTGGTAAGTCTTGCCCGAATCAGTCTTTACTATAATGGTTGCAAAATGGCAGTTTTTCTAATTCCATCATTCCTCATATATTTCTTTAAAACATTCTGTTGCAAAAAGCATTCCACTTATTTATTTGCCTATCTATTATCATGGACACATGATTTCTTGTTTCGTTCAGTGAGTTCTATAGTCCCATTACCATTGCTTATTTTGCTGCTGAAATTCTCTGAGTGGCCTGCAGGAATCCCTTTCAGCTGGCGCCTGTGTCCTTTGGATGTGGCTCTTGTCATTTTAGTGAGCAGTTCCTTCCGTTTGGCACAAGATTTTCTAGTCTCATCTTGTATCTTCTTTGCCCCAGGTATGGAATCGACTATTTCTTTAAGGAGCTCTTGTTTTCTAGTGAGGACTGATATTTCAAAAGCAAGATTTGGATGCCAGTTGTACTCATTCATTGCTGCTGGAGTGTCACTGTTTCTAGGTCTTTTCAGTGGCAGGGTTAGAAAACATGCATTTTAGAAATTGAGAATTTGTTATTATGCTTCCATTTATATTCCTGCCCCACAGGGTTCTTCTTGACTTCCCCATAATTTTCAAAATCATTGAAATATGTACTCATTCGCTTAGTCCTACAATATACACAAAATAGTTTTAGAATTGCTATATCCATACTATGAAAAATAAATTTATTAGGAAGAGTTCAAGATTTTTGTGCATTTTTTGGTCTGCAAACTAAATGTCTATATATAATCAAAGTATTCTATTCAAAAGTTACCTGGAATAGTTTCTCCTATTCCTCCCCCCCCATAATTGTTATCCATTTGAAATGCTGTCGACTCCAGTTGCTTCTCTGAATCGAGTCTGAGCTATTGTTCTCATTCTTGGACTTATTTTTTTTCTGAATGTGTAAAATATTAACATGACCCAAAGTCAAAACTATATTAAAAGATATATTCAGAGATGTGTTGCTTTCCCCCTATCCCTGCTACCTCATTACTCATTTGCCCCCCTCCTGAGCAGTAATCAGTTTCATTAATTTCTGGCTCACCATTCCAGAGTTTCTTTTTGCCAAGATAAGCAGAAAAAAGAAAAAAGAGACTTTCTAAAAGTTTAGCATGGTCCCTGTGCAAGAATGATATGCAGTCTTCTCTGTATGGTTCCAGTTTAGTGTATGTGCTGCTGAAAAGAGTACTTGATATGCTTTCGGCAGCGGCTGGAAGTCGGGTAGCTAAGAATAGGACAGTGTGGTAGGGCTTCAGGTGAGGGGAAGGCAAGGAGGGAGGATTCTGTGATTAGGAAGGCAGTGCAGTGGGATACATAGGAGCATGGCTTTAGAATCAGACAGGCCCGCTTTCAGTCTAGGTTCAACCACTCATTAACTTGCTGTGTGACCTTGGACAAGTCGTTAAACCTCTCTATGCCTTTTCTCAAATGGGAATATTAGCATCTACTTTATAGGATTATTCAGGTATAAAATGATGACACATATGAACTGTTTTACAGTACTCATAATTGATAGCTAATACCTGAATAATAGCAATAATAACACACCATCACATAATTAGGAGATGGAATTAATGCAGAGAAATGTATTGAATAGTACTGCATGGTCCTCACAGATGAACCTCTTCAGGTGAAAAGACAATAGACTTAAACATTTATGATTTTAATATACAAGCCTCAACATTTCCCAGGAAAAGGTATATAAGTTAGTCAGAAATTTGAGTATAAATAACAAAATCTATAGATTCCTATAACATTTTAAGACTGGAGTTGGCCAACATTTTCTATAAAGGGCCAGATAGTAAATATTTTAGGCTTTATTATAATTTAGGGTCATACACTCTCTGTTGCAACTACTCAACTCAGCCATTACAGCACAGAAACAGATAGATACAATACTTAATTGACCATAGATGTATTCTAAATAAGTACAACCTTATTTGTGGGCACTGTAATTTGAATTTAGTATAATTTTCACATGTCACAATTATTCCCCCCAACCATTTAAAAGGTAAAAATCACTCATAACTCATGAGCTATATAAAAACAAGTGGTTATATGAGCCATTGTTTGCTGATCCCTAGTTTAAGAGAAGACTTATTTTTTGATTCAAAATAGGAATAAGAGCTTATACCATGTAATTAAGAAATGAGGCTGAATTGACTTAAAAAAACTAAATTTACTTTGAATTCAGTGCTTTATAAATAACCACCGAACTGTCATTCTCAGAATGTCCTCTTACAGAAATCTTTATGATTTGGGGTACTTTTACTTTAGTAGAACTAAGTTAATCACATTTTAGAATGATCTTTATTTCTGAGAAATATGGTACTTATATATTTCTAACTTTTTGATTATTTAATTATCCAGAACTAATAATCAGCAAGGTTGGAAATGTATAAGCTCAAGGGGGCAGAGGATTCTGGGATGGAAGCTAGGACCTGTGAGAAGAGGTAAAGCCAGAAGAGAAGTGATGATCTGAGAAAATAGATAATGTTTGAAATCTGGAAGCCGTGATATGGATGAAGAACGCTTTAGGAGCTGTGAGCAAAAGTAAAGTGGAAAGGTGGAGGTTGTCAAAAAAGAGGTTTCAGAGTTCAAAGATCACAAGTCATTTTCTCCCCCAGCTTTACTGAGATATAATTGACATATATCATTATGTGCATTTAAAGTGTACAGAGCATTGATTTGATTCACATATATATATACTGCAAAATGATTATCAAAGTGATAGGTCATTTTGGACAGGTATAACCCAAAACTCTGCTCTTGGGGTCATCTCATTGACTTCTGTTTATTTTTTTAACTAGACATTTGATCTTGGGTTAGTTAGATCTGTCTGATTCTGAGTGTTTTGTGGAAAGAGCATGAGGTTTTAGAATTATACCGCCTCCATTTGAAACCCAGTTCTGTTGTTGATTAGCTGTGTTGTTTTGGTTAAGCCATGTTTCATTGTGCTTTGACCTCATTCACTAGTGGAATATTAAATATTGCCCTCCTAGGCTTGTTGTGGGGACTAAATGAAACAATTATTTACAATTGTTATATGAATGTTAGTTTGTTATTTTGAACAAAGTTTGAGGACTGTTTTGAGGGGGTCAGCAGCACAGATCTCAAAGTTGCTGACCATGCAGCTCAAACAACTTTGAATCTGCTGCTTAAGACTCTGGGGAGGGTGGGATGGCACCTTAGAGTTCTGCTGATACCTGTGGAGAGAAGACAGAGTTCTGTCAATATACGGGATGGAATGATGGAAGATACTATAATAATGGTCTGAAATGGTTGGGAACCTCTAAGTTTAATAATGTTGTTAATTCTTATCTTCCAAAAAACATTTAATGTCTTCTTTGCTTTTTTCAGCATCAGCCTCCAAAGTCAGATGAAAGTTCTGTGTTTTAGAGAATGATGTTAAGTGACTCAGTAAATATAAAAGTATAGAATGAATGCCTCTTTCCCCCCTTTACTAGTCTTTTGTGCCTGAATAACACCTTTAGCAACATTATTAATCTCTATCATATTATGGCATGATTATCAAAGTATATTAGATTTCAGAATTTGTCTCAATTGCTACCTCATACTTTATCTACTTAGAAAGCTAAGGCTCAGGGACGTCTCCCACTTTGCTTCTATATCTGGTTGACCTTATGGTGCTCTTCTACAGGTTTCTTATGTTGATTTTCCTGTCTCTTCGTCCCAGAGCCTTATCTGCTGCCCCTGATGGTTACATATGCTTTGACTTTTCTCTTGCCCACCTGGATCCTCACCTTGCTGCCTGCTGGCTTCTGGTGACTGCCCTTCCTCCCTCTGTCTGGGCACTCCTCTGGTGACTTCTGTGGCTACTCACAGGCCAGGTGACCCTAGATTTCTGTTCCTCTGCCCTTTAACTTACTGGTAAGATTCATACAGGTCTTTAAATACTTTTATTTAATTAGTTTTATATAATGCTTTTAAAAATAAAATTATAACAATGTCTTACATGAAAAATAATATGTGAAACTGAAATTTATATGGTGTAGTTGATTGAGAAAAATGGGTTCAGCCCGGCCGGGCATGGCTCAGCGGTTGAGTTTCGACCTAGGATCCAGGCGATCGGGGTTCGATTCCCGGTCAGGGCACATGCCCGGGTTGCGTGGGCTAGGCCGCTGATCAATGACTCTCTCATCAGTGATGTTTCTCTCTCTTTCTCTCCCTCTCCTTTCCTCTCTCTGAAATCAATAAAGATATATTAAAAAAAAGAAGAAAAAAAAATGGGTTCAGAACGTATCAAGAAATAACTTAGAATAAAAATTAGGAAGAAAGTCAGAGTTATAGGTTTTCACATTCTTTAATGGTTTAAGAATGATTAGGTGACAGAATATTAGAGATTTTTTTTGGTTTGTTTCTTTGGACTTTAGTGTTCTGTTTAATCTGGCTTATGTTTCTAGGAGTGGTGTGTTGTGCTTACCCCTGTTGTTTCCATAGCTTACAAGGCTAATATGGACCTATAATAAAACAATGCTAGTTAGATTATGAAATCTCTGGTTTCTTTGCTTTATAATGAACCATTGTAATGATAAATGATAAGACCTGTTTGAATTGGCATTATTGTGTCATTGGCATGAAGCATAGTAACAGTTACTATTAAAATGAACATAGCAGTGTTCTTAAAATTTTGGGGTAAAAAAGAAACCTGTTGTGAGTTTTGGAATATTATTAATAAAATTCAAAAATTAAAAATGCCCAGCCTTCCCAGGTTAGTCTTTTACAACTTTTTTTCTTTTCTTTTGGTAATATTGTGAAGATGCTGGGGTACATGAGATGAGTTTTTCTCTTAAATATTGGACACAGTGATCCATCAGCCTACTAATTCAGATGTTTTTCTATTAATCTTCCACCTGGCAAGAGTGGGGACTACACATACTTTTATCACATAGTAGCAGCAGCCCCTGGTATTCCTATCCTGTCATTCCCATGAAGGACTTGTGACACCTGAGACTGATTGTGGCCTTCATTTGGCTCCATTTCTTACCTCTGTGGAGGAACCTGTCCAACTTTTGCAGGGTTGTCACTTGTACAGTTTTTCTGGAGCTCCTGTCCTAAAATCCCATNCTTACCTCTGTGGAGGAACCTGTCCAACTTTTGCAGGGTTGTCACTTGTAGTTTTTCTGGAGCTCCTGTCCTAAAATCCCGTCAGAAACTCTTAGTGCTATCCCAGGGAGGTGTAGGGCTTATTTTGAGGCTGCAGTAGAGATGTATTATATATAAGTAAGATAGACTGGAGAAAAATCAATTTGAAATTTCTCCTTGGGCCCTAAGTTCTCCTCACCTAAAATATCTACATGAAAAATGATAGTATAAAATCATTCTTATTGGTCCCCAAGTGGTAACCACACCTGCCTTTTCTTAACTATCAATTTTCTTAGCTTAGGTTGTACGAAGTCTTGAGTCATGGTATTTGTAACAAAGGTTTAAAAAAATATAGCCAGTATAAACAGCTCAAGCTCTATTCTTATGTAATGGGCTTCATGTTGAAATGATTCAGTTGTCATTTATAGAGGGACTTTTCTCTGCGGGCATTGTGCTAGGTACAAGGCATACAATAAGACCATCTCCTTCCCCAAGAACATTACAATTCAGTAATGGAACCGGAGAGGTCAATGAACAATTGCACTGTGGTTATGCTGAACTTGAAAATTACTTGATCTTCCTAAGCCTCAATTTTCCTGATCTGTGACACGAAACTCTCATTAAGGTTGTTAAAATTAGATGAGATAGTAAATGTAAAGTGTTTGGCCTAGAGCTCAGAATACGTAGCGAAAAGTACTGTAGGAGCATGAGAGTGGCACCTTCCCCAAGATTGGGGCTGGGGGAGATGTCAGGAAAAGCTTCTCAGAGGAGGTGGTGACTGATGGAGCTGAATTCTGAATGCTACAGAGAAAGGAGAATGGTTGGAGGTGAGAGGGTTGTCTTTGTTTGCTTCGTCTTCCGTTTTTAACTGAGCATTAAACTGCATTGTTAATATGTTACTATAGTGTATATAATGCCTCGAGAACATGAAAAGTAATGTTACCCAGCTCTATTTTATATTAAGCATTATCCTTAATTTTCTTTCAGAGAATTCAAGATGGCAGCGTAATTGACTCAGTTAAAACAATCTGTGTGGGGGATCACATTGAATCCATAAATGGAGAAAATATTGTTGGGTGGCGTCATTTTGATGTTGCTAAGAAGTTAAAGGAATTAAAAAAAGAGGAACTGTTTACCATGAAGTTAATAGAACCTAAGAAGGCATTTGGTAAGTTGGTTTTATGTGTGTGTGTGAAATGGTCCTTTCCCCTGACTTATCTTTCTTTTAAAAATCATTTTATTACCATAGCCAGTTCGGCTCAGTGGCTAGAGCGTCGGCCTGTGAACTGAAGGGTCCCGGGTTCAACTGCAGCCAAGGGCACGCACCTCGGTTGCAGGCTCTGTTCTGGTCAGTTTAAGGCACATGTGGGAGGCAGCCAATTGATCTCTCTCTCTCTCTCTCTCTCTCTCTCTCTCCCCCACACACACTCTTTCTGAAAAGCAACGGAAAAAATATCCTTGGGTAAGGATTAAAAAAAAAAAATTACCACTATTTCTATGATTAGTTATATTTTTCAGGGCTCTCTTAGTGCTTAATTGTTTTTTATTTTTTTACTTTTTTATTGAAACAATTTTTTTTCAATTACAGTTTACATTGAATATTATTTTGTATTAGTTTCAGGTGTACAGTGTAGTGGTTAGGCATCATATACTTTACAAAGCATTCCCCTGAAATTTCCAGTTTCCCTGACTTCTCTCTAAGGGAAATGAGCACCTCGGTGTGGTGCCATGTGCTTCAGTTAAGAACACAGGAAAGAATAGTGCTACTTACGAGGAGAGCAACCACTGAAGGACAAAAACATGGCCTAGAAGGACATTTTCTAAAAAAAGCGTTTGGAGTTCTGGAGCCTTTGAGTTCGATGTGGCTGTTCCAAACCAAGAACAGCGCATTGTATTGCGTTCATCTTCCTGAGCAGTAAGTTTTTTATTCAGCTCTCTGAACTACATTAACTGTCATTCATGGACCTAAATAGCAAAAACCTTAGTTACACACAGAATTGGTATTTAGAATAGTTATCTAGTCTATTTTAAAGACTTCCTTCAATACTTTTCCTCCATTGGCATTCTGAATTGGCAGGGTGGGATGGTATGAAATTACTTGGTGTGACATCTGTACTGGCTTGGTTTTAGCCATGGCAGCTGTGTTCCAACTCTTGTTCAAACCCCCAGGGCCATCTCATGTCCAGGAAAATGTGCCAGCTTCTCTCAGTACCCAGCACTATTTTAATAAGCCAAGTGATGGCCTAGTGTTCATCAGTGTCAAAATATCTTCAGAATTATTCTGGGCCGGCCCTTACTCATCCGTGACCCCACCCACTTGACGTTCTTTCCTCTGCTCACAGAACATGAATATTCCTTGTAGTTTGTCTAATGGCTATTTTCTCAGGGTAGTTAATGTTAATGATGGGAGAACTGAGTGGGTCTGGGGAATTACATTTCTCCTTCCTTCAGCAAATATGTGGCAGATCCTAGCCATATGAAATTGGACATTTTTTTCTGCTTCCAAGTGATTCTGTGCCATTTAATAGAAATATAATGTAAGTTATGTTACTTGTGGGAGACAGAGTTCCAAGAAGATGTAGGAAAGGATGCTTTTTGCCAGTGCTGCTCCTGGAGGGACCATTCTAGAAACCATGGCTGTGGATGCAGTGATGCTGCATGGTGCCTTGCAGCGTCTGAGCTCACTGGTCACAGAGGAAGGTGGGCCAGCACTTGGATTTCTATCCAGCAGCTCCTTTTGAAGTGACTTTGCTTGGTAACCAACTTCCCATTGTGTCATAGCATCTAAATTGATAGCACGTAGGCAGTTTGAGAGAAATACAGTATTCTTATTTGATTTAGACTCTGTAAATCAAAGTCATTCTCATAGTAGAGCCCAAGGAATATGATTTTCTTTCTACATTTATTTCTACCACATAATCTGGTTTTCCAGAGTTAATCATTTCCAATTTTTCTTTGTTGCCTCATAAGAATTCCATGGGTTTTAGAACAACACCGAGTACAATTTTCCTAGTGAGGGTATATTATTTCACCCCAAATTCTGGTGGTGCTGTGGGTTAGGATACCTGGAAGTTGATTTTGGAGCAATGGCATGTTTTCATTTTCCAAGGTTTCTATGGTACACAACTTAAGTCTGTTGGTCTACACGCATTTTCCACTCTGTGGGTTGGTCCTTGCCTCTGGGCTGCAGCCTGGGGACTTTTCCCTCAGAAGTAGGTCTTAATGCCCTGCCCATCCTTCAGTCCTTAATTTTGCAGTTTATCTTTTTGCCTCTGAGATAAAGGCAACACTAGTTTGTTTCTCATCCTATGACTTCATCCCAGCCCTTAGCTCTTTGCCAGGGAGGGAGTATACATCAGGAGGCACCTGGGCAACCAGGTTTCCCCCAATTCTCTTGGTCCTAATCTTATCTTTTGCTATGTTTTCTTCCTCCTTGTTTTTCTAGCATTATCCTTGATGCATTGATTCAAATTTCATAGGTTTTTAAAAAAATGATTATTTGACTATTTAAATCTTAGATTTCTACCAGGAGAAAGGACCCGTCTAGGTGAGGTTGAATTTTCTCTTCTCTGATTTAGATAGGCCACCTTGGCCGAAGCTAAGTCATTTCTGGGATTTTTGCCAAAAGTTGTCAGAAATGGCCACACACTCCAGTATTTTCCTACCAATTTTCTTAAAGATTTAGCCTGCAAAGGCATGTGGACTGTGTGTCCCAAAATGCAAGAGGGAGTAGTGCAGTTAGCTGCCTTGTAAAGGTGTAACATGGATGATTACACAACTCAGCCACGAATAGGGGCATCCTTACTACCTGCTCCTATTTCCAGATGTAGGTCTACCACTAGCCACATCCCACTTCTAGGGCCCATTATGTGTGTCAAGATGTTTTTGAGAGCTACAGAATAAGCACTATCTAATTTAAGGAAAAGACATTTTTTCTAAAGCTTAATAGGTAAGTCTCAGAAACAAAGACTTGATCAAGTCTTGGGAAGCTCAGGAACCAGGGTTGTTTCAGAGATATGTGAACTGGGAACCTTTCATGGTACTGGCTAATTGACTTCTTCCAATTATTTTCTTCCTTGATGTTACTCCACTCATGATCCAAATTCCTGGGGTACAGGGGGAAACTGATTAGGTCATATGCTCATCTTGATAGTGGGGAAGACAAGCTATATGACTGACAGGCCCCCCAAAATCACACAGAACAGGGAAGGGGAAGTTTCCTTTTGGGTAAGAAAAAGGCAGATGCCCACATTCCCATTTCTCCTAAGCTGTTACCTTGTTCTTTAGGCAAAGCAGTGCTAGTTTTCTCTTGATTTTGAATCTGACTTTAGGCATGCATGATACACTTAGTCTTGGTGTATTAGAATGAATCTGAAGAGTTAAAGGTATTGTCAGTTGAGTTTGGGTGACTGGTTTTAAGGATTTTTCTGCTAGGTGTCGGGTACTATAAAAATGGTTGTTTCACAATGGGCTATCTAGAGACCCTGATGGCATCAAAGTGTTCTTTCACAAAGTAGAATAGAACTAAAAATTTCATAGTGTTTTGTGCTTAGTAACGGTGGGTATTATTTTGATTACATTGTTTCTGTGTATGCATATGTGTTTCAGTTTTATTTATATATATGTGTATGTGTATATATGTATATTTATATATGTGTATATTTATGGGTCATGATATGATATATATGTTTCTCACTGTGTGTCATAGAGAAAAACATTTGAAAGCCACTGGTTTAAATGACTCCCTTGTTGAAAATCTGTAGTTTAATGGGAAATATCTCACATAGTTTCTCTTGGTCAGCAGCCTTCTGATCCAAATTTTCCTTCTTCTAGCCATGAGTTGATGGCAACCTTCCCAGTCCTTATCAAGTATTGGCTGGAATGTCTCTAGTGGTATTTTCTTTTTCTTTTTCTTTTTTTTTGGGCATGGCTCACTTCCTTTCCTCTTTTGCCAATGAAAAGGAATATATCTCCACAATGAGCTCAACCCTGCAGAGTGTGCCCTGTGAACCTAGATTTTCCCAAGGCTATGAAAATTTGCTCTTCCATTTAACTGGCTTTAGGACCAGACTAGTTCAAGTGGTTTGTTTTCCCACGAAGCCTTTTAATGGCAGAAAAATAATTATTAAATGTATGAGGCTTTGATTCAGTTTTACTTAGAAGAGTCTCTGCTTGGTTTATCCTGGAGACTTTTTAAAATTTGTAGTTGTTGCTCTTTATGGAAAGAGGTTTGTGGAAGGAGGCCTGAAATGTTTCTGTAAAGTGTTTTGAAAATGAGAAACGGAGTTGAAAGAAAGTTGACCTCCTAAAGCATTGATAGTCTTTATTTCGGGGTTAGGTTTTGTAACAGGCCTCTGGACTGTGTCTTCTTTTAGAGTCTGTATTTCTGTGCTATGTGTCCATCAGAATAGGATGTTCAGTATGTGAATTATGTCTGAGTCCTTTGAGTAATTCACAGCTGGAAAACTCGGACCTCATCTTCGCGATTCAGCTTAACTTATGTACTCATTTTTAAAGATTAAGTACACTTTGATTTTAAAGAGAAACTTTGGCTTTTAAGTTTTGTATGACTTTTTAGATATTTCAAACATTTAAAAGTACTTTCTATTATTCATGCTATTTCAAACTACAAATGCTTTTGGTACTTTTTCATATCTATTGAACTCTACCAGATATCCTGGGGAATATGAAAAAAGTCACAAAAGAGACAACAAAAGTGCAAGTCATTAAATACATAGACTCTGCCACATACATCTGTGTGGTAATGTGACATCAGATGAATTACTTAACCTTTCTTTGCTTTGGTTTCCTCACACATGAAACTCATGAAACTGAAGATGATGGTAGCATCTACCACATTGGGCTGCTGTGAGTTTTAAACGATTAAACATCTTAAAAAAGTCATGGAACAGTCCTTGGTGCATAGTAAGGTCAACAAAAGTTAGCTAATATTAACGACTGTTATTATGAAGGTGTAACCTTTTCTTTATGGAGTAATTTTAGAAGCAAGATGAACCTACATGAAACAGGAAAAACAATGTGGTTAAGTTGCTGATTAGCAAGTATTTGTTGAGAATCCTGGCACTCTTCCAGATCCTGGAAAGATGGATGGTGATACCACGTCTCATATCAAATAGTGAAATATATCAGTATATCATTGTCATAGCC